AAAAGTACTCCAGAGTGTTGTTCAGCATGGGGGTGAGTAGAAAAGGAAGGCTAATCATGTTTTAGGTGTACTATTCCTTTAAGTCCAGTACTGTAGAGAAAAAAAATGCTTTATTGTTTAACTCGTCATTGGTTGCAAAATCATGGCACACTGCTAATGTTTAAAAAGCTACATCCACATGAATGTGTGTATAAAAGGGAAATTCCCATAGGAAGTCAGTCTTAATGAACCCTATTTACTTTTTTTTCTTCTAAAACTGGTTAAACATTAATTCAAATACAATTTCAGAAGCATTGCATTTGTAAAATACTAGCTTATGACTCCTACTTTTTAACTTATACTAACTTTTAGAATCATTTTCTTCACGAATATAGCATGCCAACATTTTTCTGCTAAGCATTACAAAACATTACATTACAAAGACATTACAAAAATATCTTTCTTCTTAATTTGCCACGTCAGTGGTTTTGAATGTTGCAGCCTGAGAGTGTAAAGTGATAGACTTAGCTTAGGAACAGAACATAAAACCTGTTTTCATACCTTGATTAAAAAAAAATCTTTATTGTTACATTCTCACTAATTACAAATTTATTTTATGAAAATCCTCTTGCACTCGGGATTTCCATAATAATTAAAACAGCAGAGATATCTGCACGAGAAGAGCGTCTAAAACCAGAAAATGGTTTCTACATTTTACAAGAAAAAAATCATTTGTTTTTTAAAATATCATCATAATTAAATACCCACTAAAGTTTTGTTTACAGAGCTGGTTACTTAAAGAAACATCTGTTTAAAAAAAACAAACTATGCAGCACATTTATGAGCAACCATTACTTCACTGAGTGAAGACTTCAAACCAAAAGATTTAGATAACACCTTAGTATTCAAAAGTCAAACAATTTTTTCTGTTTTAAATTAAATAATAGTTTATTATGGTCAAAAGAAAACAAAAACATGTACATGTACACACACGGTTCTCATCAAGTAGTGAGCTGCTGACAGATGCTAACAGGTTTTTTTCCAGTAGAAAAAAAAAACAAACAAAAATGACTGACTACAAAGATAATCTACAGAAACATAATAAAGATGAAGGTCATTTCTTCCATGAAACAAAATGAACAATGCATAAAAGACCTCAGTTGGTTGAGTCAAGTGTGTTTGACAGGGCAGAAGAACTGCCCCCACTTTAAGTGCAAGACGTGCAAAACTCTGAGGCTGTTTGTTTGTGAGGTGCCAAAAAAAGACAGAGACACACATCTCTGAACAGTAATAATCACCTAGGTCTTATCATTTACATAATATAAACACAGTTGGAGACATTTGAAAAGATGTGCACTGAGTCCCAGTGTCTAAAAGCATAAACAACAGTTCTCTAAGGTGCAGCAGTGAGTAAGATATATTTTTCTACAATGCAGAGGTGAGGTTACACACTCTGATTTAAACTCTCAGATTATAGTCCAGCTACACAAATGATAATGATGAGCAATATGTACATGATTTTGGTTAATGCACAAGAACACCCCCATGAAAAATCATAGTTATTCTAAAAACCTGTGGAAAAGGTAAAAAGCTAAGGACTAGTGGCAACTCCATTGCTTATCTGATCTCCATAGAGCTTTGCAAATGTTTTTCTTTACTGTTTAAAATTTTGTGGAAACATTTCAAAATGGAACGATTTTACTGAGATTTTAAGTAAAGTGGCAAAGTGGCAGGAAAGTTATACCTGGTTTCAAGATTTTTTCAATGCCTAAAAAGTGTGTTTGCATTTGTATTCAGCCCCTTGTAATATGATACCACTACCTATATAACATTTGGGCCAATTAACCTCTTTCAGATATCACCTACTGTAATACTCCTCACCTGTGTGCAGTGCATGCAAGTGCATGGTTTTCTGAGTGGTCCAGATGTTAGTTAGACAACATGAAGACTGAGAGATTAACTAAAGAGCTAATGGATAAAGATGGGGAGAAATTTAAGCTGAACAGGGTAAAAAAGCTATATCCTGTTCACTTTATTACAGTAGTAGCCATTCAAAATTTCCCCACTTTCATTGATGGGCCCTTGGCTGGTCCTTGGCTGGTCATCTGCGATTCCTTTTTAAACATCAGTCATCGAATGCAAAACCGAGTTTACATTGTCATAGATGAATGACGATAGTTCAGGGGTGTAATGGATGTACAGAGAAGTTCAAACCCCATCGACACCTCCTTTCTCTGCAAATCTCAAAATTCTTCTACCACAAAACGGACAAATCCAAACGAAGCCCCCAGTTGACGTAAACTCTGGGATGTTGCCTTGTTTGGTTCTGAAGGCGAAGCTGAAGGTGAAGCTGAATAAGATACAAAAAATGTAGTAAAAAACTGAAAAGTGGCAGTAAAAGACCGACCTTGACTTAGCGATCATGTTTTAGCATGACTACAATCCTAAACATACACCATGAACTACCATGGAATAGTTTTGACCAAAATATGGTCATCGGTATAAATGGCCCATTCAAAGTCTAAACCCAGATCCAGTTGTAATTCTGTGGCAAGACTTTAGAATTTCTGATCAGAAATATTTTACCCCCAACCAGATTGTGCCTGAAATATTTTGCAAAGAATAATGCGCAAAGGTTTCAGACTCTTAATGTGCAAAACTAGAAGAGACATATATTGAAAGACTTACATCTCCATTCAGACTTAGGAGGAAGTATTAACTAAGGGTGACAGAACACAAATGCATAGCGCAATTTTTTAAATTTTAGAAATTAGTAATTTTCCTGAATCTACACAACTACAAGCAATTATTTTGTTTTTACATGTAACTTTATTCCAATAACATGTAATGACAACCATGGTTGTAATCTCACAAGTGGACAAAGCAGTGTGTCGCAGTGAGCTTGTTGTAGATATTTTTGTTTTATGCCCAATATTGAAGCGTGGTCTGCGCTATGTTATTCTATACCACAATGCAAGAGGGACAATCGTGAACTAGCTGTGGGTCTAGATACGACCGAGGCGGTGAGGAAGTGGGGGCAAGTTTGTGCGACAACAGAGCAACATGAGGGCGAAAAAGAGTGAGGATCCAGGTGGAAAAAGGTTCCCAGCGTTCTCGCGCACCTCGCTCTTCTAGCTGGTCTAATTTCAAGACTCATTTTTTACAATGTTGGTCATACAAACAATACAGGTAAGGTACAAAACAGGAAATACACATAGTGTAGAGCAGATGTAGATTTAACCAATCAGAGGCCTCCTGTCTGCGGTTACCTACAATTTTGGAGAGGTGCATCAGAATGTCTGCAGAAGGGGCGGGGGCACATTCCCGTTTACTGCGAAACACATGCAGAGGACCTTGTTTCTGAGTATAAATCAGCCTTACAGGACAGTAATGCTAAACTTGTGAGCTAAATGATTCCATGTAACCTTTTCTCATGAAGGAGAACTGAGATTTGGCTTTAACTTAACCTTTGGAAATGTACACACAGAAAAAAAAGAAAAAAACTTTTTTGTGTAAGTGTCATAATAGTATACATACATCTTATTTTTACTCATCAAATGAGGTTCTTACCCAAAAAAACTAAAGAAAAAAGAAAATAGGCTTAGACAAACTTCAGATTCTCCTTTGAAGAAATGTCTCACAGTGCTTTCCTTCTTGTTTAGATTAGGCCTTACATATCAACATTTTTGACAATTAGACATTGCTCATTTCAGAGTGAAGATATTGCAGTGGCCCAACAGTTTTAGAGGGTGTCTAGTAAATACTATTGAAATGACAACTTGCATTTTTCTGAGGCTCCAAAGTGAATCTTGATACTAAACTGTATGTGCTCTGCAAATGGAAGTACCATATCTGGAGTCCAAATCACCAGATTTTTCAATTCTAAAACAAAGCCCAGCTTATTAAAATTCAATCTCTTCAACACTAGGGTTGTGTTCCCTTCATGTCCTTACAATTGTTGTTGTACTACCTCACATAGTGCCACAAAGAAATAGATTGTAAAACATAGTTGTCCTAATGTTCAGATAGAGCTTCTGCGTTTATTCAGTCTTCTGTAGGTATTAATGCTGTGTAAACCTGTAGATACAGAGCTGATGCCTGAGTGATGCTGCAAGCCGCACATGCAGCCATTAGAGTGAAGAGGGTTGGAAAAAGCCTCTCCCTGCTCCATGTAGGTGTCTGATGTGGACAGGTCACGTGGGATGATCATTGGAATGGAGTACTGGAGCTTCTCTCTGCTCTTATACCAAAGACAGGAGCACATTGATTGGAAGTGGAGTACTTCGGCATAAACGTTGCGTAAACCACGGCTGGCAGTCCCTCCGCTGCTCCCTCCGACGGCACTTCCACCACCACACATAGGTGGCGTTGAAGACGGAGAGGCCGGATCTACAAAGCAGTTGATGTGACCACCCACCTGACCATTATGGGCAAGAAGAGCCCGCTGCTCAGCGTCCCTTTTCTCATCCTCGGCATTCATTGTCATGAATCTCAGCACGGCTAAGTTGAGGAAGGCTCCGATCACCGCCAGGCCTGTCAGGATGTAGATAAAGCTGAAGGCCACATACTCTGGCTTATTTTGCAGGGCTTGCTTATTCTGTAATGCCACATAGTCCCCAAACCCAATGGTGGTTAGGGTGATGAAGCAGTAATAGAACGCATGCAAAAAGCTCCACTCCTCAAAGTGGGTGAAGGCCATCGCCCCCACACATAGTGTACTCATGCAGGATATGAAACCAATGGTCACCATGTTGACCATGGAGACTTCAGTGTGCCTCATTCCAAGGCACTTCTTTAGGCGGTGGAGCAGGTATCTGACAAAGGTGTTGATCCGCTCACCAACACTCTGGAACATGACCAAAGTGAGGGGGATGCCTAGGAGGGCGTAGAGCATGCAAAATACCTTCCCCGTATCTGTGCTGGGGGCTGCATGGCCATATCCTGTAGAAAAAATGGGAGAAAGGAGCAGGGTTACTGAGCTGAAGCTAATGAAAACTAATCTACAGATGACAGGAATGTAACAAAAGCAGGCAGAATGCTGCAAACCTGGACTTGAAAGACACAAATGATTTGTATTCTATGAGTGGCTCTTCTGATAAATTCAAACACTCTTCATTTCACAGTGGTAGAATGCAATTGGAGATGAGAAGGCACAGGAGTGTGGCAGCAGGCAGAGCCAAGTATTGATGTCGTGTATGGGAGAGGGGTCTTGAATAATTCATTGACAATTGGTCTCTGCAGAGTGGCTTTGGCTAATGAGTGCATTTGCACCTAATTAGTACTCAACATTGTTCCAGATCAAATGAACAGGACATCGAAGGCTAGCTTGTAAATAGTCACCTTTATTTGTACATCTAAAAGAAAAGAAAAGACAATATCTGTCTAGCGTTACTTTGAATGTTTTTAATTATAAAGCAAACAAGAGTCTACAGTACACCTTGAACAGTCAAACAATCTGAAGCTAGTTGTTCTCAGAGCAGGCAGTTTCTAATAGGGCTGCAGATAAATCTTTAGGGTAACATCTTCCATAGATTCAGCATACAGTAACCATATTTACATATACTGCATAAAGAGAAAGATACATTTTCTTTTTCCTTACTATCTGACATGTTAAAGGGACGTGTGAGGAGAGCATATGTCTCAAATTAAGCTAGTATTTGGCTCAAAAGTTATGTAGCGTTGTCTTAAATAAACAAATCACATGTTTATTGTTTTTTTAATATATATATATATATATATAAATTGTTCAGTGTCAAATTCAGCAAATAAATGTGACAATTTTAATTACCGTATAATAAAAACACTGAAATGTGCTAAGAGGAGGCTCTGTCACTAGAATGATAGAAGGTTATTGGCGTCACTTTACAAAATCTCAATTCCCTACTCTCTGCCTTTTATTGGTTAATATGCTGATTAGCAGGAAAGTCTGTCAACTTTCCTTCCAAAGCAAATCGAGACTCTACAATAAGCGGCCAGAGTTCACTTGTTTGGTTCACATCGGAGCTAAGGCGAGGAAATAGAGAAAAGTGTTGTGTATTATCAGACAACACTGGAAATTATCCTCCTGATTCTCAGACATAAGATCTTCAACCTTAACATGCGTGGCTTTGACTCCCTGAGACTTCCTCCTGTCATCTGGAGCCGGTGCAGACAAAGAAACAGATAACACCCCTGATAACCACAGGTTACACAAGTCGAAGGGGTTGATCAAGAGCCCAAATGTGATTACCTGAGGGTTGATTTAATTCCCAAAGCTCTGGCTTTATTGGAACACAAATCTATTTTGTTCAGCCATCTTTCTTTCTATTTCAGAATCTGGTTAGACTTTCCCCCCTTCATTTAGCCACAACAACATCACTGGTAATAGATTATGTAATTTGCTTTACCATTTTGAACAACATGTTTATTCCCATTTTGAAGCCGCATTTACAAAGACCAGCTATTTTAGTGTGAAAATAAAATAAAAGTTTATAAACTACACCTTTGCTGACTTCGGACTTCCACCTGCTCACTTTTTTTAAACATTTATTTATACAGGTAGACTGACAAAAACAAGAGTTATAATTAAAAAATAAAGAAATGGTTATGAAAACAGGAACTTTTTGCATAATCTCCCTATGAATATAAGGCTTTAACTTTTTACCTTTGCTACTCTTCAGATGCACTTGCTGTTATTTTATATATTACAGCTCCTTGTCATGATATGATCAAGAATCCAAAGTGGTCTTTGTTCAGTTGTCCTCAATCCACCTCACACATCTCAGCAGGTTCAGATTCAACTTTATAAAGTCCAGTTCTATTCTGTATGTGAGTCACACAATCCTTTGACCTGGACTTCTTTAACAGATGCAGCTAATCTAAAATGCATTCATCTTTAATATCTGGTCAGTCTGTTCCCTAAGGTAGAATGAATATGAAGGATTTTCCTTTGAATTACTTTTTATTCAACTCTCTGCAAAGTTATTTTCTTTATAATCTCTTGTTAGGCATGCTACCACTGCACCCCTCAACACAAGCTGCAACCAATGGGGACAGCCAAGATAAAATGAGAACAGAGAAGTATAGTTTTTTAGTTCTGAGGGGAAAAAAAACAAGTTTCTGATTAAAGAGTTAATGCTGATATGAACTCCCTGTGGCGGGTTGTTTTACTTCAACATTGTTGTACTGAAATGTTGTAGCACTTATTAAGCGAGTCGACAGGACAGCTCGTTCAGGTGAGCACAGAGCTGTGGCTTAAGGGCCGTCACAAGCTCTTTGCAACGAGGAGCAGCTTTTTGAGATGTGAAGATCACTGGAGTGACAGGGGAGCAGATCAGCAGGAAATGCTGAAGCTCGAGGTGACAAGGCGCGCATTCATAGTATGGTGTGAGGGAGTAAAGAAGTCCTGCATGACAAAGTCATCCTGCTTCCTTAGGTTATGAGAATGCTATAATAAGACAGCTTGTGCTCTAAAGAGGACCATTTGCTCTAAAGAAAGGCTCTCTAATTACATCTGACTAGAGAATTCCCAGAGGTTCTGTTTAAATATGAAATATCACTCCAAATATCTTTAATTCCTATATAACATTGTCCCAACAAGGGTTTGATGACTTTACATGTATTTGGGAGTACTGGGTAAGACCTTCAGGCCTGCTTTATTTCTTCAACAAGTGTCTAAGTCCATATTGACTGTAATTATTTAGGCCAGTTGAGCACAGTATTAACATGTTGAAGAACCTTGATGATTTGAGCTTTGTGATGTAGTATCCTGCTAAATACCACCATTAGCAGTCAGGCATACTTTGATCATAAATAGTCATCAATAAGTCTGCGTTAAACTCTGGCATTTAAAGGTGATTTTAAGGAACTAGTTGCCTTTATGTTTGATAGTCACCAGGTCAGAACTCAAACCCTTAGACCAAACCCTCCATAGATGAGCCACGTGCTTATCAGCGGTCAACAGTGGTGTCAAAAGTACACATATTTATTACTTAAGTAGAAGTATAGATGCTGCAGTTTAAAAACTCTCTGGTAAAAGTTGAAGTGTCAACTTGACCTCTTTAATCAAATAAAAGCGAAAAAGTATGTGCTCCAAAAATTACTTAAAGTATAAAAGCATAAAGTAACCTTTAAAAAAAAACAGCCAGATGCCACTATAAGAAATGAAAGCTAAATTTTTCGACTATTTCGAAAAATTCTTTGAGATAGGGCCAAGGATGAAGGAGGTCTTGTTGGTCTCCGTCTCCATCTCCTGATACGCTCTCGCCTGTGTCCGACCATTCAGAAAAATCAACAACAAATCTGAATCCGACATTGTAGCATGGCAGAGACTATTTGCATTTGCAGTTTGAAGAACACCTGCTTTTGATGATTTCCTTTGGCATCAGCACAAATTTGACAAATAGCTAACCAATGAGTATATATGACTCCACTATATAGACATTAGCAATTACACTAGTTTTCACTAGATGTGGATGGAGCCAATGATCTGCATTGAATGGTGTGAAATAAATATTTATAAACATTAAACCGAAACCAAGAGTTACGAGTAACGTTTTTTTTATTTTTTATGTAAGGAATAAGTACAGATACTTGTGTGAAAATTTAATGAGTAGAAGTCATAAGTAAGAAGAAAAATAAGTAATTAGGTAAAGTATAGATACCTAAAAGGTGTACTTAAGCAGAGTAACAAAGTATTTGTACTTCGTTACTTGACACCACTGGTGGTCAAGCATTTAAAAAATGTTTCATTGTCACTGCACTATCTGACGGTTGCATCAAAATTCAAAAACCATGGGACCTACAGACATTTCTCCTATCTGTTTTCGTTACCAGAATTCAAAGGGTATTTTCTCTTTATCGAGCGAGTCTCTGTAAACTCAAGATTTATTTTCTCTTAAAAATCCTGTATATAAACAATTTCTGGAAATAAACTGTCCAGTCATCATAGTAACACAGCCACTTTTTAAGAGACATTTAAATCCACTTTCTTGAAGCTGAACTCCTAAGGTAAATTAAAATTCAAAAAGGTAAAATTCACCTTCTTTTTGAAAGGAAAAAGTAAAATTCTGCAGAATCAGCTAAATTCTTATTTTTGTGTAATTGGAATTTAGGTAGAAATAACAGAATTTAAGACTTTTGTTAACCAAGATGAGTATCTAAACTCTACTGTTAAACATGAACGATTACACTTAATACAGATGAACGGCACTTACTATTTCAGTTTCTACTTGCTGCTGTCTAAACCAGTCATATGAACTAATGGGTTTTTCTCATAGTAATTTAAATCTCATCAGTTCAATAAATATGAGCTATTACAATAACAAAGGAAATACCAGCAACCAAAGAGGATTCTTATTTATTTTTAAGGCCTCAAACCAAGCGTGTAAGTTTATTTTCCCCTCTGCTTTCATTTCACAGTTTTAATCAAAAATGGGTGTGCAATATTCAGTGTGGATTAACCCTCAGTCAGATTTTGCAAATGAAACAGCTGATATCATCTCAAGTCATCCCTTCTTTTTTGCTGTGAAGTGACAATAACTAATCCAGTTTTGTTTTTATTATAGATTTCATCTTATAGTTGCTATTGCTTGTTTGTCTACTTAGATGACAACTCACTGTATAAACGTCCCTCCCCAAGGCATCTGTCTTTAAAAAACACAGCATCCGATGTCTCCATTCCACTGATTAATTAGGCTTGGGGGGGGGGAAAAAAAGTGGTCTTTGAAAATGGATCAAAGAGCAGCATAATGTAGCTCTGAGGGCTTTGGCTCACTGGCACTCAATTACATTTCCATTGATTACCAGGAACAATTTGTTCTCACAGAAAAAGACGAAGAATGTTGCTCATTGGAGAGAGTTTTTCAAGAAGGAGAAAATTTGGTCTTGGATATTCATTATTTTCTGTTTAACTAATTATTTAAATGGATATGGTAGAAAATATGATTTGAGATAAACCATAT